TTTTAATAAAATTATTGGAATATTTATATTTTTATAAACATAAAATTTATTAATAAAATCTTATACCATATTGAATATATATATTTTATAAACTTATATATTTCTTAATAAACAAATCTTATAAACAAACATATAAATTAATTTTACAACATATTTATAGAAATCTTAAATTATATTTTATTACCACTGCCACATACGCTTGACTAAATTCTTCAGAATGACTTCCTGGTAATAAATTTCTAATAAATTCTTGAATATTTTCAATCTCATTATTTGAGAGATATGCATCGGGATCGAATGTTTTTGCATAACAATCTCTTAAAAATTTAACCTTGTTTTCTTGCTTAATGTCACATATAGATTCTACTATTTTTTTCCCAACCTTGTTTAATCTTAGATGAAACGATTTTAAAATTTTAATAATTGCTTTTTCATCTAATTGAAATCCAAGATTTATGCACGATTTTAAATTTCTTGTTATCTGTTGAATCGTTGGCTCGAGTATTGTTGCTTGTGGTGGAAATAATATCATCATCACTGCTTGAAACAAAAAATCATTAACATCTTCAACTACATTATAAACAATTGATTTCTATAAATTTACAAGATCATTATGTAGTATAATAGCACAGGTAATAACACTCAATTGACGAATGTTTTCATAACCATCTCGTGATGGGTATTCTTGTATAATTGTAGTATTTTTTTTACGAGGTCTTGAAGAAAACGGTACAAATTTTTTATTCAAAATTAAATCTCGTATTTGTTTTAGATTCTTTTTGATTTCTTGTCTAGCTTTTTCGATATTAAATGGACCACAAGAAAAAAAATGAAAAAGTTCCAGATCATTTAATTTTAAAAATAATTCATCCTTGTAAATTTTTTCTGCTTCTTGTAAAAAGAAGATAAAAACTTCTGTTTTTAGATTGCTAGCTTATGATTTTTTAATTTTAATTTTAATATTATTTCTATCAATTATCAGATTTACTTGTAATACTTTTAATTCTATCAAATCTTTATCATTTTCACCAAAACCTATCAGAAGTCTTTGCATAAAATAATGAGATAGGTTCGCTCCTTGATTTAGTAAACAATGTGCTACTTTCAAGAGTTAAAAAATAAGGATCCAATCTAACAGCATAGAAAAGAGCTTGTGCTTTACCAAAATTGAAAAGTAACTATATAGCTTTTATATTAGGCTCAGTTACGATATTATGAAATAAATGGCAAACTAACAAAAGATTTAAAGGACATCTGATATTTTTTATAATAATAAAAAGAATCTCAATTGGTAAGTTTATTAAGAATAACATGATGATTATTCAATTTAGATTTGGATCATAATAAAAATTAAAACTTTTATATTCATCTCTCAGAGTTTACAGAGTTGTTTATTTAAAAATAATTATTAATACATATGTAAAATTTATAAAAGAACTAATCTTATTAATAATTCTTAATAATATCAAAAACTTCTTGAATATTTGGTCTATTTTCTGGCGATTGATCCCAACATCTAACATAAATATCCTTATACCACTTGGGTGTGTCCTCATTTGGAGTTTCTCTTTTTCTATTATAAATATGCACCATAATCATCTCTTCAGTAAAATTTTTATATGGTATTTTACCAGTTGAAATTTTCCAAAAGACAACACCCAACGAATAAATATCTGACTTTTTTAATAATTCGTACTTAGGGTTAATGATACATTGAGGATCAATATATGAAACTGTTCTCAGACCATTACCATCAAATGGTCTAGTTTTTTCATTCTCAAATTTGCTAAATCCAAAATCAGAAAGTTTGGCGGTACCTTGTGAAATTAAAATATTTCTGGACCATATATTTTTATAAATTATATTGAAACTATGTAAAAATATTAGACCACAAGTAATATCTTTACAAAATTTTAACTTATCATCTCATGTTAACAAATGAAATTTATCAAAGAGAGATTTTTTTAGATTTCCTTGATCCGCATATTCAAAAACTAAATTGAGAGGATTGTCAGAACAATACCCATAACAGATAATGATGTTTCTATAGTTGATTTTTAAATTTGAAAAAATATTAAATTCATTTTTAAATTCGTTATGTTTTTAATAAATTTTTTGATAACCACATCTAAATCGAACGATTTCCAATTTGTTTTAACAATCTCTATATTGGTATTTGTATTTATATAAATCAATTCCTGTTTATCAGAAAAATCATTCAAATTGAATTGGTAGAAGTTTGGCATTTTCACATTGAGAAAAAAATTCAATGTGAAAGGTTTTATCTTGATTTGTTTATTAATTTATTAAAACATTATTATTAATTATAATAATA